TCAATTCCAGTAAAACGGTGGGTTCTTTTAAAAAATACAAGATATTCAGGGCAGTCTACAGAATGTTAAGAAAATTGAGAAATATTTTGGGCAGTTTTAAAAATATCAGGAAACTCAAGACTATTGAAGAAGTTATGAAATAGTTTCGATTATATGAACTGCAGACAAATCTTGAGAACTTCAGTGAAAATCATAGATCTATTTTAATTAATTCGCTGCGGAAGTCTAAAGAAGTTCCTGAAATTTCAGAATAACTTCGAAAACTTCACAGAAACATTTCGAGAACTTCATAAAAGTCTATGGAACTTAAGGGAAGATCCGAAAACTTCTGTAACTTTTATGGAAATTTCGCTAGAATCTCAAATAAGTTTAGTAAAGCTCCAAAAAGAAAGGGAATATCAGGGGAGTTTAGTTCCATTAGTTTCACTAAATTAGCGGGAAATATCAAGAAATTCCCAGCTTTCAGATTACTTTAAAGATGTTAAGAAAATTATTGAGGTTTTCACATATGTAAGTCCAGAAGTTCACGCATGTTTAAACATTTTTAGAACAATTCAATTAAATTCACGGTAGTACAACAAGCTTCATGAGAACTGCAAACTCTTTAGAGAAGTTTCGAGGACTTCGAGAAAGATATTGATCTCGCTAATAAAGCTCTAATAAAAAAAAAACTTCAGAAAGAACAGATATCCTCAGAGCAGAGATATTCCAGAGCAGCGACATTACATAAATTAAAAAAAAGGTTGAGAAATGCAATGAATTTTTAACACTTAAGAGAAGATTCATGATCGTTAGGAAAATTGTGGAAACTTGAAGGAAGTCCGAAAAAGCTTAGAGAAGATTAAAAAAATGATGAGAAGTATTGCGAGCTTCAGGCTAGTTTCTCAAACTACAAAAGAACTTCAAGACAATTTAACTAACTTCAGGAATATTTTGGGAACTTTCAAGTAGTTCTGAAGACCTCAGAATAGTCCGTTTCATATTCAACAGAGATTTCTCATGAAAATTCGCTTGGAGTTTACTATCTTGGGCTTCGGCTTCACATGAAGTCTAAAATTCCTCAGAACTACCATGAAAGCAGATTTTCTCATAGATTGAGGTCCTTGAAATTATAATAAAATTCAATGAGCCTTAAAACTGTGCAAGGAATTTGACTCCAGATTCTTGAAAATTTCTTGAAGTATATAACCTTTCAGTTAAGCATTTATAAAATTTGTGGGAAATATGCATATTCTAGAACCAAAAAAAAAATCATATGAATTTTAAAAATGTATTTGGATATTCGTAAAAGTGGTCAATTCATGAAACTGATCCTAGAGCTACGCGGTTTTTTTTAAACCACTCATAAACGTCTTATCAGAATGAATTCGGAGTTGTGACCGAAAAATTGACCCTGGGGACTGCGGGATGGTCCACTAGAAAATCCGGAACATCCGTAAAAGTGGTCAATTCATGAAACTGATCGTAGAGCTCCGCGTTTTTTTTTAAACCACTCATAGACGTCTTATCAGAATGAATTCGGATTTCTACCTGGAATATGAGCCCTAGGGACCACGGGATGGTTTATCAGAAGATCCGGAACATCCGTAAAAGTGGTCAATTCATGAAACTGATCCTAGAGCTCCGTGGATTTTTCGAAACCACTCATAGACGTCTTGTCAGAATGAATTCGGAGTTGTGACCGGAATATGGGCCCTGGGGACCACGGGATGGTTCACCGAAAGATCCGGAACATCCGCAAAAGTTGTCAATTTATGAGACTGATCCTAGAGCTCCATGAGTTTTGCGAAACCACTCATAAACGTTTTATCAAAATGAATTTGGAGTTGTGACCGGAATACGAACGCTTAGACGGAAAATGGACCTTTGGGACCACGACATGGTTCACCAGGAAGATCCTGAACATCCATAAAAAAAAACAGTTCTTGAAACTGAGCTTAGAGGTCCGCTTTTTTCGAAACCACTCATTGGCGTCTTATCAAAATTAATTTGGAGTTATAACCAGAAAATTTACTCTGGGGACCAAGGCACAATGGTCTCAAAGCCGTATTTAGGAAGACAAAAATGTTTGCGCCCAAACCGTCAGTTTTAGATATATAGTGTCTTTGGGAAAGTTTCTTCGTATTTTTTAGCTGATTTGAAACTAGGGTGGTCTTTGAAATTGGTGAACCTGTTTTTATTACTTGAGATTGACTAATGAAGTGTTTTAAAAAGTTGTAGAACAATCAATTTGAACCAACTTTGCTGATGGCATCAAATTTTTATCTCTTATGGTTATTTTAAACGAGTAGGTTAGAGTGGCCCCTAGAAAATCTTTCCTTAAATATTTTTATTGGTGATCAACGTACCCACCCCCCACCTCTCGTAAAAACATTGTTCTAAATACTTTTAGAACTTTTTATGACGCATATTTTTGCAGAAGTCACTTATTTGATATTTCCTTTATTTAAAAGTTATGACTAGTTTTTGATAAAAAAAGATTTTTTTTAATTTAAATTAAACATTTTTAACAAAAAACGCTCTCACAGTTTTTTTCCACCAATACTGAAAAAAACACGATCTCTTAAATGAAATCAAAAATTTGAAAATCGGTTTGCTCCATTTATAGACATTGTCATTTTAATAAAACCATTTTTTTTTCGAAGAAAATCTCCATTAATTTTCTAAATATAAAAAAAAATAGATAGCAGCTTGGTTGCTTCAGCAAAAGTATGCGTCATCATAAGTTCTAAATGTAACCAAACAAGGTTTTTACGAGAAATGAACTTATAAAAAGATATTCGAATTAATTCTGATAAGACATTTATGAGTGGTTTCGAAAAATCCGCGGAGCTCTAGGATCAGTTTCATGAATTGGCCACTTTTACGGATATTCCGGATCTTCCACAGGATCAGACTTGTGTCCTACCGGAAAATAAATGAATCGTCCCTTATCAGAAGACATCAGGAAGTTATCTCTTCAAATTGCCGTACAATCAGTGTTTGGTCCCAATTAGCACTAATCCCATTTGCTACGTGTATTCGTTAATGCCGGTTCCTATAAACCGTACTATAGGAATCTTGACTGTATTTTAAAATGCATTCTTAGTAAGAAAATTATTAAATTTCCTGAATAATGATAAGATTCCCTGAGACTTTCAAGTATTTTCAGGAAAAATAAAATTCTCTGAGAAATTCCGGTTTTTCAGGTTTTTCCAGGTAGTAGAAGCTTGGAGGTTTAGCCATACACTTTCTATTGAATCTTTCGCTTTAAAGGTTTCTATTGTACATATATAAGTGTTTATGAGAATCTAATTGAATTAAAACATCAAATATTTATTTTGTATGACATCAGAACGACTAATTTTCTACACAGCAAAAAAAAATAATTTTAATATCACCACAGTGGATGCACTTCAATCGTATCGAAAATATGGTGTAATATTACTTGCCAAAAAGGACACAATTATTTTAAATTTTAGGTTTTTTTAGTCCCATGGGATAAACATTAAGATTTTGTTTCCGTGTTCGGTAAATTTTACCGGAATCAGAAAAGCTGAACGTTCGGTAAAACTTTGACCTTCATTTTAAAGGCTATGGAATTTGAAAATAATATCAAAACATGTTCAACCTTGTTCAAATCTTGTCATTTTAGTGGCGATTTAGTTTCAAAGTAGCTGAAAAACAATTGAATTGAATTGCATAAATTTTACCGAAAAGTTCAGCTGTTCAGATTTCTGTAAAAATTACCGAAGTCGATAATATTCAAAAATTCATATTCAAAATCAAAATATTCATTCTGGAAAGGTAGAGGATGTATAATATCCACACTTGTTGTCATTTGTTTTGCGTGTAACATATGCATTGAGTTTTTAAAAATATTGAAATAGGGGAAATTGCTCTAATGTTGGCCTATGGATCTAAGATTAGGACCATCGCAAAAAATCTGCTATTTATCAATTTTATCTAGATGAACGCGTCATTGGGATGGTACTAAGGGATATTTTTGGTCCCTATTAAAAATTTAGTCGATTGATGAATGTATGTATGGGCCCAAATTAGGGGCATTTACGCCGACATTACATCCATTTCCCCTATTCCTCCTATCGGAGCGTAACAAACCTTCAACTAAATAGAGGAAATGGATGAAATGTCGGCCTTAATGCCCCTAATTTGGGCCCATACATACATTCAGCAATCGACTAAATTTTCAATAGGGACCAAAAATATCCATTAGTACCCTATAAAAATATCCGTAAATAGCAGATTTTTAGCGATGGGCACAATCTTAGATCCATAGGCCAACGTTAGAGTCATTTCCCCTATGTAAACATTAATAGACATGTCTTTTTTAGAATATGAATCTTTGAACATCTCACACTTTCCGCAAAATACTAACTTTCACTTGCTCAAAGTAACGCTGATTCCGTTCAATCGTTTTTTTTTCTCAACTTGCATTACTTGAGCAATAACCGACTTAACTCAAGTCTAAACACGCAAAACAGTGTGTCTAGTTTGTGGATCTTGGAACCGCTTCAATTAAAGTTAATTAATCGTTGTATCAACAAGCATTCAGATAGCTATCAGATTCGTTTCATAGTTCCAATATAATTCTCGATATCCGAAACTCACAACCATCAAATCATCTTTCGTTGACCTTCTCCCAATTTTCTCACCCGAGATCTCTGCTAACATCATCCTCATATCGCATTGCCTCTTTCTGTTTGATTTGTTTACATAACTTTGCGATATACTGTTGTGTATATTTACCCATCAACCATCATATCATCATTATCGTCATCATCATCGTTTATCCTCTTTCTTTGCTTTCTGTAACACTCTTCCTATATGTATGTATGTATAACAATCAGACAAGCATTACATGCGTGTATGTGCTACAAAACAATCAAATTGACCTAAATATCAATCACACTAATTGACCATCGTTTTTTTTTCTCTTCCTTCTCTTTGATCTCGTTCCATACATCCAACACCGTTCCGTCTGCGATTCTCCTCCACAGCTCCACAGGATCGAGTACGTGCATAGTCGTCATTTAATTTATAGAGATGTAAAACCAGAAAATTTTCTAATCGGTAGAAGTTCAAATAAACGTGATAAAATTATACATATAATAGGTAAGTAACCCCCAATGCCGTTCGATTTAGTGTACCACTCAGTCTAGCAGCTCTAGCTCCTAAGGTCAACCATCGCGGCATACCATGCTGACTCACGTCCGACGGAAACGACATCCACACGAACGCGATCCACAAGTCGGTACGAAAATATCTTCCACCAACCTCCACCCCTGCCCTCCGCCCCACCCAACAACAGATGCATAATGACGGAACGTGTCGGCATCTGGTGCGCATGTGTCGGTAGAATCATACCATCCCAAGCAAAATAAATACATATACACGCGTTTTGCTACTAGGGCTTCTCACAACATACCAACATGCCCCTCTGTTATGCTGCGGTTCATTCACTGTCAGAAGCATATGGCAGGCCAGAGAGAGAGAGCCAAACGCTCTCCACTCTCGCGAAATCTATTTTTAGACCCGGCTCATTCATACGGCGTGCGCACTCACACTCCGGGTGGTGCCGGTTCAATGGAAGAAGCCTAACCAGCACCAGATGGAACGGGAGGAAAACGAATGAATTTGTTTTGAATCGAGTGAACTTCTCTCGCTCTCTCTCTCTGTACCAGCTGATTGAACGTCTGGGCTGACTAACGGTACACGGGACCCCGCATGCTGGTCGTCGTTTTCGCTCGGTCGGACGGAGCTTTGAGTTTTAACGGTCTTCTGGCGCTCGCTTTCCGCATGTCCCTTTGGCGCAGCGGATAGCGCGTTGGACTTCTAATCCAAAGGTCGTGGGTTCGATCCCCACAAGGGATGCAAGTGGTTGGATACTTTTTTTTTGATTGCGCGCTGCTTGCTGTGTCTGCTGGCTTGATGGGGGAACATTTTGTGTGTTTTGCTTCCTTGATGATGCTCGAGTTTTCAGTATTAAAGCGTAGGTGCTGGATAGTTGAATTGACGCGGCCAATGAAAGTGTGCTCTGTATTTAATGGTAAGAACGATAGTTAGCGGGTGGTTTTATTTCTCGTTGCGCCGGTTTTTTTTTTGAATGATTTCAAACGAAAAAAAACCCACATTTAGGCAGGTTTATATAAACTGTTTTACACAGTACAATCTCGTTTTTGATATTATCTAGAAAAAATGCCCTAATGCTTATTTTTTATTTGTCTCGGTTACAGTTCCTTCACAACCCAACTGAACACCAATTGTTTGTTAAATTCGGAGGCTTGTTCATAAATTAGAATTCCCAAAATTAATGCATATGGTCTCCACTTTGGAAGGCTTCTGGCTAATCAGTACATCCTATACGACTTATTTAGCTCGTATGTTGTATCGTGCGATTGTACGATTGAGGATACTGTTAAAGATTTACGATCTCTTCTTCATGCCCTTCACTTGAAAAAAAAAAAAAAAAAAAACAAGTAATATGGTGGCCAGCGAATTGAGAAAATCGGAAATACCGGGAAATAACTGGGAATTCGACGATCGGGAATCGGGAAAAATAAATTATTTGGAAGAATATATAAATATTTGTTTAACTGATTTCAAACGAAAAACTCCGTCAAATTGATTCTGTAACTTATTAGAATCGATTTTCGGCTTCTGCATTCTTGATTTTTACTTTCTGAAACTTTAGAAAATATTTTCGGATTCGCCGACGAACGAATTTCAGGGCTGTTACAACAGGCGCGGATTTCGTGAATTTCGCGGATTTCGCGATTTTCGCGGATTTGCGAAAATCGCGGAAACATTAAATTTTTTTTTTTTTTTTTTATATTAATTTATTTGTACAGGCTCAATCGAATAAACTTTACAGAGCCGAGTTATCATTTTCATTATACATGATTATTGTCTTAAATCTAGAGTTAAAGGAATTGAATCGATTACTCGCGGTCGTCTCGAGGTTAGTGGAGATTTACAATTTTTTGGGTGGGGAAAGGGAGAAGGAGGTTTGAAATATGATTTATTATACAAATATTTAATTAATCCTAAAACATGAACTTATTTCTATTCATCTTGAAAACAAACATTAAAAAAAAAACTACACGCACAATACACAAACTAAACACAAGGTTAATCAAACTTACAATCTAAGGTTAGTATTCTTAAAGTAAACATATATGAGTTTCATAAACTCCAGGTCACGTCTAGCCAAAATATCCCGAACTGGAACATTAGGTTGTCTACCTCGAGCCCGAAGGGAATCGCACAGCTCAGATCTGACTCCACGATGCTCAGCACAAGACCAAAGGATGTGATCGGCGTCTTGGTAACCTTGCCCACATTCACATAGATTGCTGTCTCCCAGCCCAACACGAAACAAGTGAGCGTTTAACGAATAGTGATTGGACATGAGGCGAGACATCAGACGAATGAAGTCTCGACCCACATCCAACCCCTTGAACCAAGGACTCTTCGACACCTTAGGGATGATCGAATATAGCCATCGTCCCAAACTCCCTTCACTCCACTTATTCTGCCAGCTGACGAGTGACTGTTGACGATAAATGAAGAAAAATTCATCGTAGGCGATTTGTCGATCGTAAATATCGCCTTCCATAGCGCCCACCTTAGCAAGTGAGTCAGCCATCTCATTGCCCGGAATCGAGCAATGAGATGGGACCCATGCAAAGGTGATTACAAAAGATCTTAAAGATAAAGCACTTAAAAGCTCTCGTATTTTCATGAGAAAATACGAGGAGGGCTTTACCGGCCTCATAGAGCGAATAGCCTCGACAGAACTGAGACTATCCGTAAAAATAAAATAATGATCTGGTGCAAGTGAGGCGATCGTTTCTAGCGTATAATATATTGCCGCCAGTTCAGCAACATATACGGAACAAGGAGCTTGAAGCATTCGAGAGGCGCTATGAAATTCGTTAAAAATACCAAAACCAGCGGACGACTCTATTAGTGATCCATCTGTGAAGAACGATCTTGCGGAATCAACTTGGCCAAACTTTGCAGCGTAAATTGACGGAACAATCATGGAACGATGATGTTCTGGGATTCCACGAATCTCCCGCGTCATAGATAAATCAAAACTAACTGAATTGCCGAAGTCGGAGAAGCATACACGATGGGGATTATGCTGTGAAGGGCTGACATCCTGAGTTATGTACACGTAGTACAATGACATACAACGAGTTTGAGGGTTTAGCTCAAGAAGCTTCTCAAAGTTTTCGATTACCAGTGGGTTCATAACTTCACAACGGGTGAGGAGCCTGAGGGACAATTCCGAAAACCGATCCGATAGTGGCAACATGCCCGCCAACACTTCGAGACTCATCGTATGAGTCGAGTGCATGCATCCTAACGCGATACGAAGACAACGATACTGGATACGTTCCAGTTTGATGATGTGAGTTTTAGCCGCCGACTGGAAGCAAAAACTACCGTACTCCAAAACCGATAAAATCGTTGTCCGGTACAACGTTAGAAGATCTTGCGGATGAGCTCCCCACCACGTTCCGGTAATTGTTCGGAGAAAATAAAGGAAACATTAAATGATGTCGCCTTTTGTTGTAATAGTAGTATTTCTGTTAAAAAATAAACCATTTAGATTTAAGAAATACGCTAATTACTTTCAATCAAAGTGTTTTGTTACTACACTACTTGTTAATAATATCAACACGAAGCTTTAGTACGATAATTTATTAGCTAGAGAAATTTCTGAAGAGGATAGATTGAAACTTCCGCTAGAGTATGACAGTTTGAAAATTGAACAGAAGTTGAAATTGAGCGAAGGGGGCCATTGATGCGACAATACTTATCAAATCCGCACTCCCAAATGTGTACATACTTGAAAAAATGGTCATGAAAACAGCAAATCGTATCAAAACATTGACGTACTTTATTTGAAAATTCATTAGGCATCCCTTTGGATCCCCCTATGAATTGTATATGTAACAGTAGGGTATAAGTTGTAGTATCGAAATTACGTTGAGTTTAGCTGCTAATACCTGCTAACCTTCAAGATAAAGATAATTTAAAAAATTATAACAATAGATGTAAATCATTTAAACGAAGAGATAGCGATTTGCTTTCCTGAGCAAAAATGTGCATTTTTATGGACACACAACTTTGTAGAACATTAAAAAAAAATTGAAAATTCAAACAAACAAATTATGGTAAAAAAATGGATTTTAAGGGGATACTATCGTTTGTACTCCATTTTCACCCAATAAGTTCGTCCACACGAGAGATAGAAAATTGCCATGTTTGACAAAGTTTCTTAACCTTCCTAGTGCATTAGGATCTTTTTTGACCCGGCGTCACTTTAACACTACGAATACGGTGGGTAAAAAACTTTACGCCGACTACGAAGCCTCCGAAAAACGTGTAACGGCAAGTTTGCAATGTCATAACTTAGCCATTTCTTAATGAATTTCAAAAATTGTGGTACTTTTAGAATTCCTAGGGTTTGTAAATGATTTTGATTGAAAATAGAGTTGTCTACTTTTTTAAAAAGCGAAAAGAGTTGTTACGCGTTTTTTTTTTTGAAAAGTGTGTTTGTAGGGTTTTGCAAGTGGCGCAAGATCTGTAAGTTAGATTAATGGACACAAATGTTCACAATTAGCCAGAAAACAGTCATGGTTCCTATATATGGATGCTGGAGACAACGGAACGGTCCTCAAAAAATCCGGAACATCCGTAAAAGTGGTCAATCCATGAACCTGAGTTAAATATTTGTTTAACTGATTTCAAACGAAAAACTCCGTCAAATTGATTCTGTAACTTATTAGAATCGATTTTCGGCTTCTGCATTCTTGATTTTTACTTTCTGAAACTTTAGAAAATATTTTCGGATTCGCCGACGAACGAATTTCAGGGCTGTTACAACAGGCGCGGATTTCGTGAATTTCGCGGATTTCGCGATTTTCGCGGATTTGCGAAAATCGCGGAAACATTAATTTTTTTTTTTTTTTTTTATATTAATTTATTTGTACAGGCTCAATCGAATAAACTTTACAGAGCCGAGTTATCATTTTCATTATACATGATTATTGTCTTAAATCTAGAGTTAAAGGAATTGAATCGATTACTCGCGGTCGTCT